GCAGACCAAATATCTTTGTATAGATAAGAAGATTAATTTTAAAATAAGTATTTCGTATCTTTAAGTTGATCGGTCAGGTCAGAGAATTCGCTAATTCTATCTTTATTCCGACAAACCCTGAGAGTTGTTTTTTTCATGGACTGCACACTAAACTTCGCTGATAGTTCCGTTCCCTCCAAATGGATCCTATGATAAAATTCACGTGAATTTTTCTTTTTCTTCGATTATCTTTCTTTCAACCTCTTTAATTTAATGGAAATGAATCCTGCTAGTTTATGAGTTGTTTCTTGCCTACTGTTGGCAATGAATCTCAGGGGCTCTACTTAATTGCGTGTTTTCAGCAGAACTTATACTACCGGTGTATTGTCCATTTGTCGATTTCCTCATTCACTGTTCACCTTCTTCAGCCCTCATTTCATCTACCCCTTGATTTTCATTGTTTAGTCCTATATTAGCAACCGATAATTGTGATTAGGCTACAAACGCAGGAAAGATATTGTAACAATCAAAGTTGACGAAATTTTTAGTAGAAAACATAGTCATGAGTGAGATTGAGGGAGGGGGATGCAGCATTGGTAGCCTGGATTAGGAATGAAGGAGAAATGAAACAATCGAGGAATAGAACATTGGTCTAAACATTTTTTTACTCATCATTTTGATAAGTTGTAACTCTGAGCTAAGGATAACGCGAATTAATTTTTACAATGCTGCTAATCTTCTTAAAAATTCCCATTCAGTCTTATTACCTGATTCATATATTGCTGATTACTATGAATTGTTCTCATTAACAAATGCCTTAAGACGAATTCCAGATTTTATGCTTCTACTACAGTTTTTCCTTCATCCTACTCTTATTTTATTTAAATACCTGTAATGCTGAATTCTAATTTACTTATAGCAATTTTCTTATCCTACTTTTTTAACCTCTGCTTTTTCTCCGATTTACTGCTAACTCTTTTGTTTAATTTGAATTTTCGACCTTCACACATTTAGGTTAATCGTTATAGGCTCAAGTTTTCTGTTGAAGGTATCATTAATTCAGCCGGTAATCCGGCCCTCGCTTGGCGGGCTGTTATCGCCAAGGTGACGGCGCTTCGAGAACAGTATTGCCTGCCTCCTTTGGTTTGCACAGGTACACTTATTCATTTACTTTAAATACATTTGTACTCTTTCCATTATTTTCCCCCAATTACCTCCTTGGCCCTCGCACGCACAACTATTTTAATCATAGAAGTTGTTTGACCTTGTTTTCGCAACTCGGTCATATTGGTAGGAAGACTTAAAGAAACGCACCT